GAATAATTGTGAGAAGGTAAACAATCTTTCAGACCGTGTGGGAGAACTGATCTATAAACCAATAATAACCGTTTACAACAGTAGTAAAGAAACAAGTCTTGTTGTTGGTACAAAAACCCTGTTGTTTGGTGGAGCAGTGTGTTAATTATAATAGAACTGGCAACTTCCAAATTGGTCAATTTTTATATAAAAACGTGACACCAGCAGTCTCAATGATATTTCGTATTTATTACTTTTAAATAAAAGTAAAACTAAGTTGCCTTTCTGTTTTTTTCACAAGGTAGTTGAAAGAGATTTTCACAAACTGAAAGTAGCTAATCTTATAATCGTAAGACATACCTTCCAGCACGTATGATGTCAAAACACTTCAAACGCTTCGGGTCGAAAAATTACTTCATGAACATCAAATCCAATTTACCTCTTCGAAATCAACAAGTTGATGATAGTAATAACAATATTGATATATTTATCATTAGTTATGTATCATAAGTCTTGGAAATATTTAGAGAAAAGGTGATTGCATGCTAACGGCCGATGTTTTTTTCTTGATTTCATTAATGCAAGGTCACTCGCCTCATCAAGCTAAAATCACTGGCGTGTTTATATGTGGAGCATTAAACTAGCTATCAAAACAAAGCTGCATGTGTGAAATTGACCAAAGCTCTCACGGTGTGGAGCCCAATGTGTAACGAATGACTGACAGTTGACTAGGTGGCTCCGTGGCCATTAAAAAAGGTATGAAATGCACTCATCAACTGTTCCAGCACTGGAGCACGTAGCAAGTTGATTCAGTGAAGTTTATACACTCATAGACTGCGACCAGTTTGTCTGGGCTCTATTGAGGAAAATTACTCCCTTAAATGTAATATATATTCATTGTATTATTGATATTGTTCTTGGCAATGAAGAAATATGTGAGTTTTAAGCAGGGGATGTCGGAGTCTAGCAAGGAATTGAGAGAAAAAAGGTTTAGAAGGGAACCAGACTACCAAGGCTCGAACTTTATTTGAAGTGCTGGCTTCGTCCACTTTCTCAAATACTCTGCAGTTGTTTAAACGTGGGGTTGATTTTGCTCCTTCTAATCACGATTGACTTCTACCAATAGAAAATAGGAAGAAGAGACATCAGAAGTATCTTACACAT